GTGTGTGTGTGTGTGTGTGTGTGTGTGTGTGTGTGTGTGTGTGTGTGTGTGTGTGTGTGTGTGTGTGTGTGTGTGTTATGGTTAGTTTTATCAATAAATCAACCAATCTATTACTATTTATTTTAATCATTATTATTTTAATTAAAAAATAAATCGCATACATTTCACATTAACTTGTGGGTCCCAAACTCGTGGTGCATAGGTATACTCAGTTCCAACATAGGCGATTTTATTAGGTATACCTGCAATTTTGCGGGTAAATTCACGGAACACCCAACCGCCAGTGGGGGTTTTTTTGGCCTCAATATTCCAAACATGATTTCCCTTAGATTTAGCTTTCTTTCCATCCTCATTAAAACGGGAAATATATCTAATAGTAGCAATGATAATAAGGCATTAATAAGAATTATTATTATTATTATTTTAAGAATAGCGGAAATACCGTTGAGTCCATAAGTAATTTTTTACTTTTCTTAATGGTAAAATTTCTTCCGTGTATCCATTGCGGATCAATTCATCATGGTAAGCATTTGTAAATGCTTGAATTCTGAATTTGAATGGTCGAAAATCTGGTGACTCATCCAACTTTTGCATTTTCTTTGCCATTAAAGTTTGGTGACTAAATAATAATGATAATAAATAAAATAAATAAATAATAATCATCATAATAAAAGTAAATAGATATATGTATAAGAATTTACATTGGTTCTCCTTTGGAATCTCTGGCATCCACTGGATAATTAATTATTATTATGTCATCAAAAGAAACAACGAATCGAAAAAAAGGTATGTTCAATATATATAATATATTCATAATTTTCATAATTACAATTTGAGCAAATATTTTGTAAAAATGTGACAAAGATCTCGTCTAAGCTTTTTATTAAATTTGGATCCAATTGGGCATGTGAATGCGTTCTAGGAGTATTTTGAAGCGGAACACCAGATTGTGTGTAAATGGATGATTGTTGCTAAAAAAAAATTTATTGTTTTTAAATATGGAAAATTTCGAAAACAGTAGAACAATAGAATGCTCATATAAACAACACATACATTTACAGAATATACTTCACTGGTGATCGTAGGGGTATCCTCAACATTAGTTTTTATGGATTTTCGTGAAGTTTCATATTTAGATGATGAATCTCTCTTATAGAATTTATTCAATTATTAATTAATAGGAAAATCATTGAGCTAAATCGCTAGTCAATCAAAAAATATATATCATATTTGCTAAACCTTAGTAGTAGATTTTGGCTCTGAAATATTTGGCGCAAGTGATGATGGTGATGAGGAGGAGGATTGTTGCGGTGTAACATGTTGTTGCTATTTTGTATTAAATCAATAATAATAATAATTAAATATAATTATAAGAAAAATCTTTTTCTCAAAAAAGAACTTTTTTTACCAAAGCAGCAACACTCGATTTAAAATCTTTTAAAACAGTAATAGTTTTTGAAATAAGTTCAAGTCTATCAAAAGCTTCAGCATCTATACCACGTTCAAACTGATCTTGTGCTTCGCGAGCATTCATCACAATGCTTTTTTTTTTAAAAAAAATTTAATTCAAAAAGATTTTGTCACATCAGAAATTATCTTTAATAATATGAATTTTGAAGTACTAAATCCATAAACTTTATTGATAAGTAAAATCCATTAAACTGTGTGATATTATAGACATCCAAGATGATCGTTTTGTGGCCATCAACATAAAGTACTTTCTTTACTATCAAAGATAAGTTATTAAGAAATAAATTTTTTCGTACCTCTCAAAAAGTTGGATTAAATCCATTTTCATCTCTCTATAGTGGGGTTCGTTCTTTAGGGGTGGGGTACAGTTTTATTTTTATTTTTTTATTTTTTAAAAAAAAAAAAAAACAAAACAAGGCCTCTTGAATGAGGGGATCGAGAAAAAAATCCTCAATGAAAAAAATTTTTTGGATGCAACATTGGGACGTTGCAATTTTATTGGCTATCTCATACAATCATGTGACCGTGGTTATATTTTGTGCCAATATAATATTGTCTTCTCAATTTTATGGTTTGTACAACATAATTATTATCACACTTGCCATATTAAAGCAGGTAATTGAATAGGGTTGAATTAAGTTCTGGCATAAAAAGAAAGAGAAAAAAATGTTGTATAAAAATACTACCATATATGCGTGAATTAATTAATATTATAAATGACTATTATAGGAAAATAAATAAATATATTTTAATTTTTATGTGAGATACTGTATGAAGAATTTATTTGGATAATTTTACCAGGTAGTTTTATTATTTAAATAATAATAATAATAACAAAGAATAGTAAACTAATAAATTAAAATAGGTGAGAAAATTGTAAGAAGTGCTGTGGGGTAAGAAATTAATTGATTAATTATATTACTTTTATTACTTTTGTTTCTAATAAACAAATCGCGTATTTTTTTTTTTGATTTTACGAAATCTGTTAATTTTTATTCATTTACTTGTCGCGTGCAAATCTTTTTGTCTTTTGTCATCATTGTTATTGAATTATTGTTATAGAATCATTGTCCTCATTGTTTATTTATATCAATATTAATAGATGTAACATCAGCTGACACACACACGCGTCAATTTAGATGATTATCGTGCTAAAATTTTTACGATCTAATTTGAAAGTTTAAAAATAAAGTATATATTACGTATCCATTATTACGTATCCATTATTAAATATACTATACTGCATATTATAATTTATTTTTAATTATTTCATTCCGTTATTTGTAATTCATCCATCTATTTATTCACAAAAACAACAATAATAGTAATAAAAATTTTTTTCTTGCAGCTCAAATTGGTCACTTGGTATAATTTTCAATGCATGTTCCTTATGATAATAATAATTATTACAATAATTATAAAACGAGTTATGCTTAATCTTCAATATCATCATATCAATTATCATCAACATTATCAATATGATCAATTTCTAAATCCAGTAAATTCATAAATTCAAATTATATAACAAAAAACATTTAAGATAACAATACATATATATAATATTATATTATTATATTCAATATTATAAAATAAATATAAATAAGTCGTCGTTTAAATGTCATTGTTTCTCACTCTCACACAAAAAATATCACCATTTTCTTCTCACTCACTCACGCTCGCTCACCCGTTCTCTGTGTGTGTGTGCAAACATAAATAATCAAGAGGAGAGAAAGACGCTAAGGAATAAACAAGAATCCGTTCTTCAAAGAACGTATAAAAACAAAAACTTTCTAAAAAATAATAATTATCCTTATCAATTGTCATTTCTTTAAATCTCACGAAACTAAAAAAATCAATCGGTTTTTAACTATTACTAGAAAATTTATTTACGCCTTATTCTTTTTTTTTCTTTGGTTTAAAATCACGTTATTAATAATTGATTATTCGTAAAAATAAATAGTTAATTAATTAAAAATGGATCTTGACTGGTGTTTAACATGTGAAAAGAAAACTCAGGTAATTGTCAATTGAATAATAATTAATAATAATTATTTAATATAAATTATTTAATATAATAAATAATTAGGGTCCACTATATTGTAGTGAAGAATGTCGTTTTAAAGATCATCTTTTAGCTTATAGTTTTCTCACTCCACCAGATTCACCAACATTGTCAACATCAAATTCATCGATGTCATCAGATTCTTCCTCAATCAATGATAACCATCATGATAATGATACTATTATAAATAATTTAATTTATTATTATTCATTTTATAGAAAAAATAATTTTAAAAATCAATTATTATTATTAAATCAACAACAACATTACAATAATAATTTTCAACAAAAAAAATCGTTCAATAATTTATCAATGAATTTATTTAATAACGAAAACATCAATAATAACAACTCAAAAAATAAATAGAATTTATGATGTTATTATTACTATTATGATGATGATGATGAAATTAACACGTAACAATTATGATTTATAATTACAAAAAATTTTTCACATGATTTTGTAGTATAAAACCCCAGCTTCAAATTTAATTTTATATGTATGTATATATATGTTTTTTATGTATAAAACCTTTGTAAAAAATCATTTTAAGTCATCCATTTATATAAATTATAATTTATTTATGCCTTTTAAAAACCTATAATAAAAAGTATGGCAGGATTTCTAAAATTCATCACATGATCTTTATTCATATTAACCAAATTTGTAAAAGATTTCAATTGACAAGGATTTTGGAATAAAGAACCTTGTCCATTATATTCCATATTAATATTCATTAGTAAAAAAGTCAAATTATAATTTCAGTACGCGGTGCAAAAAATTTTGCAGATCATAATCATGTGATCAATTCATAATGTGACACAATATTTTTTAGCATAATGGACTGGGGTGTTACACATCAGTATAAACACAAACATAGTTGAGCACACTTATAAAAAACTATATGTAAGGATTTTTTATTGGGTGAAATGTAGATCATTTTTAATAATAAAAATAAATAATAATTATAATAAACATTCTCCTAAAATTGCTTTTGCTTGCTTCTTCTCCAAAATTTTCTTTGCTGCTCTCACACTTGAGTAACAGATAAAAAAGCATACATAATAAGTATTTGTTATTATTATATTCATTGTGCAATTTGATAATTATAAAATATTTAATTTGCCATTTGTTCTTTCTGCTCTTTTTTGTGGTGTAAAATAAGTTGGACTCATGAAATCCGCTTTATGGTGATGGGGCTTTGAAATTATCTCAGTGTGAAAAATATTACTAAAGGGATCCGAATCCTTATTAAGACACAATAGTGCTTCTGCTTTGTGAACAATACTTTCCTAATATTTAAAATGAATTATAAATAATCCATCATAAATAAACATTAAAAAATTCAGTTTCTTACCTTAAAGAAATATAATGCTTCCAAAGTTTGTTTCAGAACAGCAATATCATTGATTTGAGCAGGATACCTTAATAGTGGCCCTTCAAAACCAAAATACAATCCATGATCTAATAAGTCAACACCAATTATTTGACCATATAAAGCTAGGCAACAAAATAGAACCAAAGCATAAATAACTATGAAATATAATGCAATGCGTAACATATGTGTTAAAGCCATGTTAAAGCCATACCTGCTAACTGCAACCCAATAACTGCAGAATTTTTGATCATTTCATCAGACAGATCATGCGAAAGATATTTATCAAGAACAGATTTATTTGTTCTCAGGCATTTACTGCGATCACTAATAATTTTAGTAGGAGTTGTTCTACAAGCGCACTCAGAATGGCTAAGCTCCACAATTTTTCCCTGATTTTTTCCTCGGCATGTAACTTGTAAGTCGATTTTTCTTCCAACTGCTGTTGCTTTTGAAACCATTTCTCCCCTGCAAGTATTTATGATTAGAAACAATAATTGATAAACATCCTAGAGAAAACAAAATATCTACCATTTAAGCTGAACAAGATGTTGAACATCGGAAAATATTATATCTATTATTGGACCTGCAACTTTGAGCACAAATTCAATCTCTGTTAAATTTTGTTTATTTCCTTCTTTATCCACGAAAATGAAGGGATCTGTTAAAAACATCTCTAAACTAATTATAAATTAAAATCAGTTCAACAACTAATGTGAATATTACTGCATAGTGATGATGTAACTACATATATAAAAAAATAGATTTTCATGACTTGACATTGTAAAATTCTAGTTTTATTCAGACGTCCCTTTAATTTCTCATACACGAAATCCCTTGCTTTCCAGTATTTGTATTCACTACAAAACTGGACATTGAAAAAAAGGTTTGATTATGTATACATTATATACATCTAATCATAAATCATTTTTATACCTCTTCTATTCTGTTAATGTCACTTTCAATTGCACTTCCAAATTTCTTTGGTTTGATGTTTATCTGCGACAGGGCCTTTGCTTTAAGGTCTGGCCATTCCTCACCAAACCAGGAGCACATACCACCAGAGAATTCGGAAGAAAGGTCAACTATTGACGAAAGCCCAAGCCTACACAAATGATTATTGAAAGTTAGTGCATGATGTTTTATCTAATGAGACGATTCATTAATAATTTGAATTTGAAAGATTATGAATTCATAGAAAGTTATGTCTAGAACATACATCACACAGCTTGCTCTTCTTCTCGGCATTTTCAATTCTTTTTCTATGCTTCTTTTCATCCTGGTTTTTTGACATCCAGAAGGCATTAATTTCTGACTCTCTTTCTTCAAGCGTAGATCTAAAAAGTAACCAATGTTTTTCATTTTGTTAATATTTGATTTTGATAATATTTTATTAAAAGATTAAAATTTTTAAGCAATATATCATTTAAATTATGTTTTAAGAAGAAAATGAATAATATGGAATACAAAAAAAAAATTT